CTCTCTCTCTCCCTCCCCCTCTCTCTCCCTCTCCCTCCCCCCCCCTCTCTCTCTCTCTCTCACACACACACACACACACACACACACACATTTTTAAATAGGAAGAGCTTGGACTGACCCTTGTAGCCGCCATCTTGTCTTCCACCTGAGGCCACCTCTGAATCTTATGCTCACAAAGATTCCCCAACTAATTTCATCGGATTTGCCATTTTTTCTGACTATGAAAATCCTGCACAAACCAAGGGATTGGATTCGATTCTTCCCAGTCTATGATTCTAACCATTCATTCGGTGTTGCACTTGAGAAAAAGCTTGCAGATTCATTTTTATTTTGCCTTACTAACATAAAACTGGTTAAAGGAAACATTTAGCAGGTTCCATAGATTCTCTCACTTATAAACTGCTGAAATGATGGTTAATAAAGAAATTTTACAAAAACAGCAAATTATGGCTATAGCTTGGGATGCAGGGCAAGAATGTGGTTACTGAGATGCATAATGTATAGAAGATAAAGTAGTGGTGAATGTGCTGGTCTAAAAACCCGGAGACGGTGAGTACCAGGGCTGCCTTAGATATGAGAGCTGGCCGGGTGACTTTGCACCAATCACCAGGAGAAAGTGAGTTCTAGTTCCCACCTTAGCTATGAAAGTTAACTGGGTGATTTTGGGGACAGTCATTCATTCCCAGCCCAACCTACCTCACAGGGTTGTTGTGGGGAAAACAGGAGGAAGAATATTACTTATAAAGTAATAAAGGCAGGATACAAATCTAATAAATAAAAATATGTCTAGAATACTGAAACAAAGAAAAAAAAGGAGGCAAAAGTACAATTCATCCCGTTGTTTGCTCACTTTGCAAAACAGCACCCCAATTTTCAGGGACCCTATTAATGCTGCTGGGGTAGCTTCTGCTTCTGCAAATGCACTTGGGCGAATTTTAGAATATAGCATGTGGGGAAGAGATGCCTTGTGGCGAGGTGGGTGGCAAACAAATTTGATTAATAAATAAACGAGGGAAAATGTGGGATATTGCTGTAACCCAGCTGCGCCCTTTGGAATTAGCTGGATGGAATGCAAAGCCAGCCTGCCAGCCTTTTGGCAATTGAACGGCATTCCTGTTGCATTCTCCAGGCACTGCGCTTAATGCGAGAAAGAAGGAACAGGCTGAGCTAATTTGACAGAGCTCAAGTGATGTAGGCTTTGGAGAAAGAAAGAAAGAAAAAAGAATGAAAAGGAAAAGAAGGGGAAAGGGAGAAAAGGAAAGGAAAGGAGAAAGGAGGGAGAGCGGAGGAGGGAGGGGAGGGAGGAAGGAAGGAAAGTTTAGTTTGGCTTACTTTATTGTCATTGCACATCGTACAACCATGTAACGACATTAAATACTATCTTCAATGTACAATTTATGACTATGAAAATAAACACAAACACACATCCCTCACACTCCACACATTGAATTGATATTGAAAGGGGAAAAAGGAAGGAAAGAGGAAAAAAGGAAGGGAAGGCAGGGAAGGAAGTGGGGGAGGGAGAAAGGAAGGAAGGTACTAGAAAGGTTCTTGGATAGTAGTTGCAGACTCTGGTTACAAAAACAGCACTCCTTCCTAAGTGCTGGATCTGAGAAGATCGTTTTTTAAAACAGAAACCAATAGTAACCCTTGGAAAAACATCCTGATGCTGTATGGATCTGAAGCTCCCTGCTTCATAAGAAACTTGGGTAGGAAGACGTGTTCCGGAAAAACACAGCTTTCCCGCAAAGCGCCTAACTGATTTGCAGAACTCGACAAAAAAGTCGGTACTGGTTCTGCTGAACCGATGTCAACCAGCTGAATCCCACCATACACCTCGCCTCCTCCTATTGGCAGGAGGGAAGCCATGGGTCATGCCTGCAGGTTTCCTCAAAGTCTCTGCAGTTGGCCATCGGTTGGGGAGACCTAAGCAGTGGGGGGATTCAGCTAGTTCACATCGGTTCAGCAGAACCAGTACCGAATTTTTTTGTCGAGTTCTGCAAATTGGTTAGGCGCGTTGCGGGAAAGCTGTGTTTTTCTGGAACACGTTTGGTTTTCATTAAATTTCCTTCCAGACAGAGGGGAAACAGCCCTCCCCAAAAAGTCCAAGAGAGGAGTGACGGAAACCTTTGATCTCGTCACTCAGGAGAAAACTGTCTCAGGCAGCAACCCTGGCCAAAGCCCCAGTGGAGCACCAGAGGGTCAGGAAGAGTGCTGAAGTGAGCGGGCATATCCTGCCTGCAGTGCCCATGCCATCTGCCCCTTTCCAGATTGAGCTGGAATGCTGCTGTGTTTAAGTTCCGGTAGATGCCGGCCTTCCCTCTGATGGGCCTGGGCAGCTGTTAGAGAAAGATGGGCTGATTTTAGCACCTGGTGCCCAGATGTCGTCACTTCCCCCAAGCATTTCTTTGCCTACCCGATTTCCAGCTCTGTTGCATTTCTCTGGCACATTTCTCGCCATCGTGTGCAGGGAAATAAAAGTTTGTGGGACTAAAAAAAAAAGTTCCATCGATCAAATCCAACTTCTCCCGGAAAAAAAAAAAAAAAGATAACGCGAAGTTGGAATTGATTGATTGAACTTTTTTCTTTAGTCTCACAAACTTTTATTTCCCTGCACACGACGGTGAGAAATGCGATGGAGAAAAGGAGCTGGAGATCAGGTAGGCCAAGAAATCAAGGTAATGTTGGGCGGCTCGCAGTCCTAAAAGTGTATTTATATGGTACATTCAAACATAAATATATTAAATTCAAACTAAACATTAAATTCCTTCCTTTAGGGAATGGGAATAGAAGTAATTTACCTATAGACCCCGAATTTTAAGCTGGGTCATATCTGGTAAAGTCATAGGACCCATTCAGAAGATCAAGAGGCCTCTGCTTGCTCAAACATTGGTTTACCCTAGAGTAGGGGTGTCAAACAATTTCATTGAAGGCCACATCAGGATTGTGTTTGACCTTGGGGGGAGGTGTGGCCAGGGGGGCATGTCCAGCTCAACATCATTTGTGTCAGGGCACCTGTAGCAGCCCGAGCACCCTGCTAGCGGAAACAGAGCTCGGAAGGGCCGTGCACGTTTTCACTGTTCGAGGGTTGCAGGAGGTTGTGGCAGCTGGAAACGGAGCTCAGGTAGGCCACGCACAGCCTTCCCAAGCAGTGGTGGGATTCAAATAATGTAACAACTGGTTCTCTGCTCTAATGACCAGCTAAGTAGGCATGGCTGGTGGTCATGTGACTGGGTGGGCATGGCCAGGGTGGGCGTGACATGGGACTTGTGTGGTGCTAAGGCAGGACTTCCCTGAGACACTCACTCACTCTCATTATACAGGTAATCCTCCATTTACAAATGTAATAGAGCCTGCCAATTACATTTGTAATCTGGTGGTTCATTTGATTGAATCATGTTAAATGAACGTGATCACTCCCTGCTTTCCCCAAAGCATTTGTTAATTGAATGCTCAGGTCTTTAAATGCACATGAGGTATCTCAGGCTGGGGAACAGCCTGGAGTCCTGAGCTCCATTTTCACTGGCAGAGGCACCTCGGGCTGGTCCTTTGCTGTTTCCAGGGTGGCCTTGTGGACCAAATCTAAGCACTACATGGGCCGGATTCGGCTCGCAGGCCTTGAGTTTGACATCTCTTCCCTAGAGAGGGGAAACAGGAGATAAATACTCTTTGAATTTCAGGATTGAATACCTTCCAAATTGCTCCTCATTTGGATGGATACAGCCAGAGATTAAATATTGATTTTTTAAAAATGTGGTGGGTTTTTGCAAAGTGGGGATACATGACTGCCTCTGTGGGAGCAATGGCAAAGCTGCTTGATTTACTAATCCAGAGGAAAGAAGCTCAGGGCCAAAGCAGAAAGAAAAGATGGGCTTAAGGATCCAGGGGGAGAGGGGAAAGGAAGATGGCCAATCATTTTGTAAGCAAGATAGCATACAAATATTGGTGATTAATAATCCCTGTCACCCAGAGTAATGCTTACATCCTAGAAACATATAAGCCCCGAGCAAGGTGGTAAAAAGAACTCTATAAAAATGCCTTCTCGAGGCACGGTGGCTGGCATGTAGGCATCGCTCACTGACGCAACCAAGAGAGTCGAGCATTATAAGGAGCGGTGGGTTTGACATTGAGTGATTTCCTTCTGTGGGGAACACAGAGTGCAGCATTTAGCAGATGGGCTGCCGATCGCAAAACCTGCCCTGGAAAACCGCAGGGATTCTTCACTCGGCAAACTGACCGGCAGCCATTGTTGTGAGCATATTTTCTCTCCTCTAATGCTTGCAGGTTTCCGGTGAATAATTCCCTTGCACGTATTATTATGATTACTTTAGTATAGCACAATACTTTCTAGCATGTCTGACAGTCTCTTAGGGGGTGCTGCAAAATGAAGAGAGTGGAAGGAGAGAGAGGGGGGGAGAGAGAGAGAGAGAGAGAGAGATAACATCACTTATCCTGGATGGATCTTTGGATTTTCATAAAGAAGTGACTTCATGGTTGCAAAACTCAGCAGAAATTAGAATAGAATCAAATAGAATCTAATACTAATAGCAGTAGCACTGCTTATATACCACTTTACAGTGCTTTACAGCCCTCTCTAAGCAGTTTACAGAGTCAGCGTATTGCCCCCAATAATCTGGGTCCTCATTTTACTGACCTTGGAAGAGTGGAAGGCTGAGTCAACCTTGAGCCTGGTGAGATTTGAACTGACAAATTGCAGAGTAGAAAATAGAACAGAAGAGAGTAGAATAGAATAAGAAATAATAGGAATAGGAACAGAACAGAATTATAGTTGGAAGGGACCTTGGAGGTCTTCTAGTCCAACTCCCTATTTAGGCAGGAAACCCTATATCATTTTAGACAAATGTTTGTCCAATCTCTTCTTTGAAGCTTCCAGTGTTGGAGCATTCACAAATTCTGGAGGAAAGTTGTTCCACTGATTGTTCTACTTCCACTTTAAAGAGCATGCCTCCATGGAATCACTATCCTCTACTTGGTGCTTCAGGCTTGCTGGCATTTCAATATCTCAGGGGCTGCCACAAAGAAGATTGTGGGGGGAAGTGGGCAACCTATTCTCCAAAGCACCAGATGGAAGGAAAAGAAGCCGTGGATGAAAACCAATCAAGGTGAGGACCAGCCTAGAACTAAGGAGAAATTTCCCCAAAGTGAGAACAATTAACCAGTGGGAATGGCTCGTCTCCAGAAGTTGTGGGTGCTCCTTCACTGGAGGTTTTCAAGAAGAGACTGGACAGCCATTTGTTTAGAATGATATGGGGTTCCCCGCATTTGAGCAGGGGGGTTGGACAAGAAGACCTCGAAAATCCCTCCCAACTCTGTTATTCTGTTAGAGAGATTTTTTTTTTTTTTTTAGAATCTGCAAGATTCTGTTAAGGTGACGTTACAATAAATTTAGACTTAGTACTTCTGGATTTCAAACGCTTTTTATCTGGGCTGCCTCACGAGACTGGCGGGAGCCTTGCAAGTCTGAAAGTGCATTTCTCCCCCTCCCCTTAGTCATCTTGACAGTCCAAGACACTAGGGAGGGTCCCTTCTGAGACATTTGCCGTGGTCTCTTTCCTTCGGCGGGTTTAGCTGCCACTTGTTTGATATGTGCCTTGCAGTAGTGGGGTCCAGTTTTTTTTTCCTACCGGTTCTGTGGGTGTGGCTTGGTGGGCACGGCAGAGGAAGGATACTGTAAAATCTCCATTCCCTCCCCACCCCTGGGGGAAGGTTATTGCAAAATCCCATATCTTCCCCACCCCACTAACCTGCTTTCCAGCTCCGTTCTCCTGTGCAGGGCAATCAAAGAAGAGTCAGCTGATCAGCTGAGACTCGGGAGGCAGAGAAGAGATGGGGTTGGCAGGGACAGTCAGGGGTGGTATTTGCCGGTTCTCCAAACTATTCAAAATTTCCGCTACCGGTTCTCCGGAACTGGTCAGAACCTGCTGAATACCATCTCTGCAGTTCTTCATCCTGCCTCCCAAAACCACCTTCCCATATCTTTACACGTCATTGGCACATGTTAAGTACTTCCAGGAGATTATGACGTTGCCTTAACGTTTCTTGAACAGTGGCAAAGCGTGCAGGTGGCTGTCTTGTCTCTCACTCTGGGGTCCTCTCCATCTTCTCTAAACTCTTTGTGTTCACCCTTCTTCCTAGGCCTGCGTAAGTGATGAGGATCCGGCGAACTGGACAGGTGGGAAGCATCCATCCACAACCGTAATGCCAAACGTTCAGCCGGGTGCTGACGGCAGCCAAGGAATGGGAGATGCCTTCCAGTTTCAAGAGCATGCCTCCATGAGATCACTATCCTCTACTTGGTGCTTCAGGCTTGCTGGCATCCGCTCAGACAATTCCTCATTAGTGGATTTCTAGGTTTTATTATGAATGAATGAATGATTTCCTCCTTTCTCTCTCCTCCCCCACCCACGCCCTATTTTCACTCCATTGGGACTATGAAGAGAACATTTGGAAAATACATATTTGACTCTTTTCTTCTGTATAACAATGAAATTGCATTGCCTCTGGATATTTTGAGGCATCAACTTTGTTATTATCCGTGGACTAATTCTCACTCCCCTTCAAACCCCACCCCCCCATATACCCTGAACAATCTCAACTTTGTGGTTTCTATTAATGGACAAGCTGTTAATTAAAATTATCTGTATCTGAGAATTCTTCTAAGTGTCGTAGAAAACAGGATTTGGAACAGCCCAATCCTTACGTTCCTCACTTGTTCTCTAACTATTCTTCACTTAGGACAATTAAAATTGATGGGGGGTTCTAGGCGAACAAAACAGGGCGGTAGACGAAGTGCCAATTTTAGCTCCCATCAATTGAGAAGGTGTCTTCACGTACTCATAATGTATTGCATTTTCATTTAAAAGAAATATGTGTTAGTTGAAATGTGTCAAAGGTACTTTCTCAAAAGGCAACTGGACTTTCTTTTTTTCCCCTTGAAGACATTTTGCTTCTCATCTAAGAAGCTTCATCAGTTCTGGCAGAATGGTAGGTGGGGGATGAAGGGATTGTATTTCTTGGCAGACATCTGGTCATTTACACTCTCTCTGAGAGCCACTGAGGTCACTTGAGGGTTATGCCCTCAGAATCACCTGAATTAGATAGCAAATGGGTGTGGAACATTCTTGGAACTGCTAAAAGGACTGTGTTATAAACAGGAAATAAGAAAATATGTGGTGTCTTATCCCTTCCTCTCTGTTGAGAGGGGGTTGTTCAGGTTTAACACAGATGGCCTCCTTTATCCCTCTTTCAAACTATTGGTCCACATTCTGATAGAGAGGACCATTGCAGAGGTGAAATGCTATCGGTTCGGCCCGGTTCACCTGAACCGGTAGTAAAAGAAATGCTACCGGTTTGGCTGAACTGGTATTTCTGACTATCAACTGGATGACAATCAGCTGTGCCGCACAATTTAGATGAGCAAGAAAGCGGAAAACCATTGAATTTCTTGCTTTCTAGCTAATCTAAATCGTGCAGCACAGCTGATCCCCTCACTGTTGTACTTAGCTCAAAAGGCTTCAAAAGGCTTTTTTCCACGCCTGGGAGGCTTCCCTGAGGCCCAGCAGGCCAAAAAACAGGGCACAGGAGGTATTGCGAAAGAAAGAAAAAAAGACTTTTGACCCCCCCCCCCAGTCACATGACCACATAGCCACACTCACCCATTCACATGTCCACCTGGCTATGCCCATCTAGCCACCCCCACCTAGCCACGCCCACAGAACTAGTAGTAAAAAAATTTAAATCCCACTACTGGACCATTGGTTTGAAGAAGGTGCAAGGACTTCAACTCCCAGAATTCTCCAGCTAGCCACCTATCTTAAAGTCACATAGCCAGCTGTGGAATTCTGGGAGTTGAAGTCCACCTATCTTAAAAGTTGCCAAGTCTGAGAAACGCTGATCCAGGGAAGAATTAAAACTGCACACATAGACCACAACACTTCATACATTGCATGGGCTGTGTCTACATTGGACCGACATCTCTAGCAACTTTTAATTGGAGATGTCAGAAACTGGACCTGGGACAGTTTTGTATTTTGTGTCACAAAGCTGTTGTGATCCAACTGCAGATATTCTAGTACTGGGACGGCAGAGCTGCAGTCTTCCACAATGGTATTGCAATGAACCTTTAAGGGGGAAGATGGAAGACAGGAAGAAGGGAGAATGCAGACATGGTACATGGTTTTTAATGGCTGTGTTAGTTAAGGTCCCCATGAATTGAGGCTGAGTCTCTTACATTGGCATGGACCTAACTATACAGGTAGTCCTCAACTTATGACCACAACTGAGCCCAAAATTTATATTGCTAAGTGAATTTTGCCCCATTTTGTATGACATTTCTTGCCACGTTTGCTAAGTGAATCACTGCAGAAGTTAAATTAATAACAGGTTTGTTAAGTGAATCTGGCTTCTCCCTTGACTTTGCTTTGTCAGAAGGTCACCAAAGGGGATCACGTGACCCCGGCACATTGTGACTGTCATAAATATGAATCACTTGTCAAGGATCCGAATGTAAATCACATGACCATGGGGATGCTGCAATGGTGATAAGTGTGAGAAATGGTCATAAGTCACTTTTTTCACTGCTGTTGTAACTTCGAACTGCCACTAAGCAAACCATTGTAAGTAGAAGACTACCTGTATACATTTTCTTGGCAGTAATACTGAAATGCTTTATTCATAGATTCATTCAGTATGTTCTATATCAGGGGTCACCAATCTTTTGGGCTTCAAGGATCACCAAACTCATAATTTTAAATCGGAGACCCTGTGGAAAGTCTGCAGGAAAATTCCCCACCCCGTTTTCCTACTGAACCATCATTCTTTATTTGGGATCGCAGGATACTGTCTCCAGCTCCGTTCTCAGGGGTGGTGGGAGAGAGAGAGAGAGAGAGACTTTTGGCTTCATGCAAGGAAAGCAGCAGAAGCAGCAGAAGTCTTTCTTTCTCTCCCCCAAACTCTGCGAGAAATGAGTCTTTGCTGGCACAGCCTCTTGGAGCAGGAGGCCTTGCAGGCTCTCAAAGACTCATTTCTGGAGGAGTTTGGGGGACAGAAGAAAGACTTCTGCTGCTTTTCTTGTGTGCAGCCAAAAGCAGAAGAAGAAAGAAGCGGAAAGAAGCAGCCCGGTGGCCAGGCGAGGTGCGTGGGGTGAGTAGAGCAAGTTCCCCCCCTTCCCCCCCTTCCCTCATTACCTCATGTTGTTCGTAATGCAAGCAATGCAAGCCTTGTGTCCCTGGCACAGCCTGGATTAATTGCTTTGGAGGGTGCTTTGGGGATGACATTTCTCGAAGGACCACCAAAATTTTCTTGTGGACCACCAGTGGTCTCCAGCCCACTGGTTGGCGAACATTGACTTTCTACTTGAACTTACAGCCCTGGTACTCTTCAGTGGTTTCCCATCCAAGTCTTAACTTGGGATGATCCCACCCGACTGAGTCCCAAAAAGATCAGCTACATGTTGATATCTATTGAGATGCAATTTTCATTTTGCCAGTACTACATACATACATACATACATACATACACACACACACACACACACACACACACACATATATATCACTACCATGTTTCCCCCAAAATAAGGCCTATACCAAAAATAAGCCCTAGCTTGATTTTAACATGGGCACCCAATATAAGCCTTACCCCACAAATAAGCCCTAGTTAAGACCCCACCCACTCCATTGCACCTGGTTGCACTAGGTGGGGCAAAGTGCATGGGTAAAAATCAAGTGATGGTGGGGATAGTGGTGGTAGAGTTGCTTACCTTTGGACAGTTGCAGCCAGGCCTCGCACACCCTGACACCTGCCTCGCCTTAACAGCCCACTTCTTCTGCAGTCGCTTGCCGCTTCTTGCACGTATCTCCCCCGGCCTCTGTTTCGCTGTCAGAGGGCTTCAGAAAAAGCCTCTGCAGTCAACAAAAGAACTCTGGATTGATGTGTGCATCAATCCGGAGCCCGTTTCTCACCTGCAGAGGCCTTTCCTGAAGGCCTCTAACAGCAAAACAGGGGCTGGGGGCGCTGCATCTGTCATTCTGGAGCCCATTTCTTGGCTGAAGAGGCCTTTCCTGAAGGCCTCTGACAGCGAACCAGAGGCCAGGGACAACGTGCACAACTGGTGGAAAGTGGCTGCAGATGAAGTGGGCCGCCAGCAGCCACAATGGCTTCTGCTGGCCAGAGCCATTGGCACCACCACCATGAGGTGTGTCAGTGGAAGACATCCCCTGAAAATAAGACCTGGTACCTTTTTCGGTGGCCAAAAAAAATATATAAGACCAGGTTTTATTTTCAGGGAAACATGGTATCTAAGTTGGTGAACCTGTGGCCAATTGTGCAACCCAGAGTGCCGCATGCTACAATTCTGACTGTCCAGTTCTTCCACGACCCACCTCCCAGGACTTCATGTAGCGAGCAATCTCAAATTCTATTCCTCCCTTCATCACCATATTTTCCTTTTCTTTTTTACTTCTATGAACCCCAGGTATTTTCTCCCAGTCCTGTTGGTATCTCCTTCTTTTGTGTGCATGGATAAAATGTTGTCTATGTAATCAACAGCATGAAGAGCCTGGCTAACACACACTGATTGGATAACCAATAAGTTTGATGCATTCTTTATACCTTTATACCTTCAGAAGATTGAAGCCTTCTACATTTTGGACACTCATAAATTATCCCCAATTTGCTGTGGACGTCCAACTCATGACCAAGCAGGTTTGACACTACGGGAATTGCAGTCGATCAAGATGGGGAAGCTATAATAAAATCTATAAACTTGATTAAAATCTCAGAGTCTCTTCAGTTGGATCCAGCTTTGAAAGCAATTTTAGATGGCTTGCTCAGAAAACCTAACCATCTTGATTTGCACGAGTATATAAAATTATTGTATGGTTTGACCTGTAAGGTGATGGCTATTTCCTAACTTATATTAGATCTCTGTTTGTAGGGTTTTGTGGTTTCACAGTAAATCTCTAAAGACCCTTTAAGGCCAGGCAATGCCCAATAATGTTCTTTATCTGCCTTTCTTCTCCTCTTATACAACAAAATTAAACCGACGCACTGAGGTTATCTGTATTTCAGTGGCTATTATCTTCAAATGTTGTACTATTGAGTTTCAATTGATGGAAAAAAGCAATTGGGACTTTTTCTTCTACAGGCTTTCCCCAACTTACAATTATTCATTAAGTGACTGTTCAAAGCTACAATGGCACTGAAAAAAGTGACATGACCATTTTTCACACTTACGACTGTTGCAACAATCCCATGGTCACAGGATCAAAATTTTGCCACTTGGCAACTGGCTCATATTTATGATGGTTGGAGTGTCCCGGGGTCATGTCATCTCCTTTTGCAACCTTCAGACAAGCAAAGTATCTTTATAATTGTCATGCCCCTGTCGGAGTCTGAATCCAAGGAGAAAGACGAACAGCTGACAGGGAGCGGGAATGTGGCTCCGTTGGCTATGAAGGAAACTGGGGAAGGGCAAAGTCTGACTGGGCAGAGCAGGGGAGAGGTAGAACAAGAGAGAGGGAGTTCAGAAGAAGACCCAGGCCCACCCCGTCTTCATCCTAGGGCATGCAGGGAGGAACAGAGAAGAGAGCAACGTGGGTCGTGTGGCTTATGGGGGAGGAAAGG